CACAACAGTGCTCCCTCCTCTGCGGTTTCTTGGAATCAGAGGTGTTCATCCCCTCATGTGTCACCTGCCACAGGCTGGGTTTTTCTGGTCCATCCATGGTGGGGTTTTTTTGTTTTGTTTGTTTGTATTGGAGTGTAATTGCTTTACAATGCTGTGTTACTTTCTGCTGTTCAATGAAGTGAATCAGCTATGTGTATACATGTATCCCCTCTCTCTTGGACCTACCTCCCACCTACATACCCCATCCCACTCTCAAGTCATCACAGACCACCAAGCCGAGATCGCTGTGCTACATGGCAGCTTCCCACCAGCTCTCTATTTTATACATGGTAGTGTATATATGTCAATCCTAATCTCCCAGTTCATCCCACCCTCCCCTTCCCTACTGTGTCCACAAGTCCGTTATCTATACCTGCATCTCTATTCCTGCCCTGGAAATAGGTTCATCTGTACCATTTTTCTAGATTCCACATATACAGCAGCTCAGACAAGGAAACAAGCTAAATATCCAGTGACAGATGAATGGATAAAGAAGATGTGGTACATATACATGATGGACTATTACTCAGCCATAAAAAGGAATGAAACTGGGTCATTTGTAGAGATCTGGGTAGACCTACAGTCTGTCATACAGAGTGAAGCAAGTCAGAAAGAGAAAAACAAATATGGTCCATCCATGCTGAGCTGAAAGTTTCTCCTCTCCTGTGGTAAGTGTTGGGTGTCTATACTGCTCACCACTCTTCATCACTGCATCTTTCTGCTCCTGATTACTCTTGCAGCCCTACTCAAGACACTGGCACAGTTGCCCTTGACCTTTCAACAACCAGAATGAAACCCTGGTGACCTCTTAATTTCTTAAACAAACCATGTATTGAGTCTCACATTTCACTGTCCTCTCAAACCCTAAAGAACTTCACTTCCCTGAACTTCAGAGCCCACAAACTCAGGCCACCTACAGGACTTTCTCATCATCTGGAATCATTTCCCCTCAAAAGTCTTGGTCCCAAACATAACAATTTCCCTGGCCTTCTCAATCTTTCATATTTTCACCATACCTTCCCTTATATTGGCCTCTTAAGATTCTCAGTTCTCTGATCTGCTTTTTATGTCTAGACTGTTTCCTTGTTCCCTCCCTCTCATACTGGGCCACATGCTTTGATCGCTTGTACAATTTACTCACAAACATCCTCAACGCCTTCATAAAACTGTCTGTCCACCCTTCATCCTCACTGTGGTACATCCACAGTTCTCATCAGTCTCTCAAACTGCTTTTCTCCCCTTCCTCCTAGCACTTCTGGGCACTGTGGGGGGAAAACCACAACCCTGCCCATAATTTCCATGATTATTGCTTCATGTCTTAAATTTCAGATAAGCCCCTGGAATGCTTCAGTCCTTTTTATTTTCCTTTGCCAAGTCTCTTTTTATTCCTCACAATCATTATCATTCACTTCAATTTCTCCAATTTATTTCCCAAAACTCTTGTCCTCAGCAAACAACTTCACTTCTTAAAATACTGGCAAAACATAGGCCAAAGATATCATCTCACACTTGCCTTATCCCAGTCCAGCTCCTACACTAAATTTAAGCACAACTTCTTCCATTCTTCCATTCTTGTAATTTTAATGTGCACAATCCTGAATGCTATTCCTGAAAGTTCTGCCTTAACCCATCCAAAGTTTTAGACTCATATCCAATAGTCTGCTAGAATTACCTACTAAGATGCCCCAAGAAATTCAAGTTCATCCAAAGAAGCTGGATGAATTTTGATTATTGCTTCATGTCTTAAATTTCAGATAAGCCCCTGGAATGCTTCAGTCCTTTTTATTTTCCTTTGCCAAGTCTCTTTTTATTCCTCACAATCATTATCGTTCACTTCAATTTCTCCAATTTATTTCCCAAAACTCTTGTCCTCAGCAAACAACTTCACTTCTTAAAAAACTGGCAAAACATAGGTGAAAGATATCATCTCACACTTGCCTTATCCCAGTCCAGCTCCTACACTAAATTTAAGCACAACTTCTTCCATTCTTCCATTCTTGTAATTTTAATGTGCACAATCCTGAATGCTATTCCTGAAAGTTCTGCCTTAACCCATCCAAAGTTTTAGACTCATATCCAATAGTCTGCTAGAATTACCTACTAAGATGCCCCAAGAAATTCAAGTTCATCCAAAGAAGCTGGATGAATTTTAGTCCTGTGTTCCCCTCTTGCTTTATTCTGTTGTTGTTCAGTCACTCAGTTGCGTCCAACTCTTTGTGACCCCATGAACAGCAGCTCACCAGGCTTCCCTGTCCTTCATTATCTCTCAGAGTTTTCTGAAACTCATACCCACTGAGTCAGTGATGCTATCTAACCATCTCATCCTCTGTCGCCCCCTTCTCCTCCTGCCTGCAATCTTTCCCAGCATCAAGGTCTTTTCCAGTGAGTCAGCTCTTGTGCATCAGGTGGCAAAGTATTGGAGCTTCAGCATCAGTCCTTCCAGTGAATATTCAGGGTTGATTTCCTTTAGGACTAACTGGTTTGATCTCCTTGCTTCCAAGGGAGTCTCTTGCTTTATGAACAATCATTTCTACCATTACCCAAATCAGACAACTATGAGTTATAAAAATCTCCTTCTCTCTCCAAGCAATGAGTTATTAAGTACTTGTGCTAGTCAAAATTCTAAAATGATCCATCCCCCAATCTCTGTCCCCTCATGTATGCCCTAAATAATTCCCTCCTCTTGAACATATTCAAGACTTTGACTTTCATCAAATCAACAGAATATAGCAAAGGTGATAGGATGCCAATGCCACAATATATTGTATTATAAGATTCCATCTTAGTAAACCTTACTGAAAGAAAGTCTCTTCCTTGTTACAGAAATAAGCCTGCTATATTTTAAATGGATAACCAACAAGGACCTACAGTATAGCATACAGAACTCTGCTGAATGTTATGTAGCAGCCTAATGAGGGAGGGCAGGGGGGCTTGGGGGAGAATGGATCCATGTATACGTATGGCTAAGCCCCTTCACTGTTCACCTGAAATCCTCACAACATTGCTAACTGGCTACACTCCAATACAAAATTAAAAGTTCAAAAATAAATAAATAAATGTAAGAAGGCTGAGTGCTGAAGAACTGATGCTTTTGAATCATGGTGCTGGAAAAGACTCTTGAGAGTCCCTTGGACAGCAAAGAGATCAAACCAGTCAATCCTAAAAGAAAGTCAACCCTGAAGTCATCAGAAGGACTGATGCCAAAGCTGAAGCGCCAATACTTTGGCCACCTGATGTGAACAGCCAACTCACTGGAAAAGATCCAGTTGCTGGGAAAGATTAAAGGCAAAAGGAAGAGCGGCCGACAGAGAATGAGATGGTTAGACAGCATCACCGACTCAATGAACATGAATCTGAGCAAACTCTGGAAGATAGTGAAGGACAGGGAAGCCTGGCATGCTGCAGTCTATGGGGTCCCAAAGACTTGGATACAACTTAGCAACTTAGCAAACTGAGTTTGCTTAGCAACTGAACAACAATAGCAACAAATTCTCTCTCAGGAAACAAAAAGAAATAAGCTGCCATGATGCAAGAGCTGTGTGGCAAAGAACTGTGGGCTGTACCTATTTGTTGAGAGCAGCTGCTGGTTGAGACCCAGCAAGAAAACAGGGACTTCAGTCACATACTCACAAGGAAATTACTTCTGCCAACAACCTGAATGAACTTGGAAGGAGATTCTTTCTTATTCCAGCCTCCAGATGAAGATACAACCTGGCCAACATCTTGATCTGTAGCTTTGTATGATGAAACAGAAGATCTGCTTAAACCCACCAGACCTTTGACTTGTGGTAAATGGGAGCTATTAAATGAGTGTTGATTAATGCTATAGAATTTAATACACTATTGTCTCTCCAGACATGATAACTTACAAATATGGGTTCCTATGAGTTTTAATGGGCTCATGGATGTTTATCTGGTCCACCTGCACAAGAATGGATTCCTCTTTGCAACTAGAAACCAGAGCCTATGCCTAATACTCACCTTGCTAAAATATAACCCTAAGAAAGTGACCAAGAAAAACCAAGAGTTCCCTCTTATTATACCAAAAGCTCATATTCTGGTTTCCTGTATGCAGCAGAGAACTTCTGTATAGATAACTAACACCAGAGTTGTCTACATTCTGCAGAGAATACCCTATCCCCTACCTACTTTAAGCACCAGTGTGAGAATACAGCCAAAGAGAACCAGAATCCTTTCATGGGATCCCAGAGGGCATGAAGAGAAGAGAAGCAACGGTGCTATCCCCAGAAAGCATTTGGAATCCAGTCAGTCAGATATCGTGGGAGTCAAGTGAGGATTTAGCTACTCAAGTCACAGGACGGGGGGTGGGATTTGGGTTTGGAAGTAAATACCAAACTAACAGACTAGTGTAGAAGAACTAAGCTATCAGACACACATTTTATAAATAAAAATCAAGGACAAGTCTACCCAATTATCTCACTAGTGCTTACTGGAGAGGTAAGGCTGGTCCCCCAATGTTTACAGTAAATAAATCTTCCTCAGGTTGAACTTAAAACATAAGGTAAAATTAGAACTGAGGGAAACAGAGAGTAATTATTCATTTGGGCTACAAAAAAGTAACTCTAGAAATGTACTGTTTACCTTTTTACCCAGAGGAGCTATGAGCACTTAATTAAAATTCTTCATAAAAAGAGAATAAATAACTAAAGTTTAAAATAATTAGTTTGAATTCATACGAAATGAAAGCTTTCCATGCAAATCTGAATCTTAAGCTTCTATTCAAATTGAATACAAAGATTCTCGTGTTTGGAAGCCTAATAAATAACAATATATTCTAATTCAAGAATACTTTTTGAAAAGTTCTAGCATATGGGTGAACACCAATGAATACATGAAACCCTAGGTAATTATCTAGATTTATTTGTTATAAAAAGAAAGACTTTCATAAATTTTACATTAAATGTATTAACATTAACTGTAAAATATATCTTTTCATTTACCTAATGCTTCACTTTCTGCCCAGAGAGCTGCAGATCCAGATAAGGTTCTTTGAAGTTGCCCACGGTTTCCTTGTTTTGACTGAAGATGGTCAATGAGAAATGGGATTGGCTGGTCAGGTGTCTCAGTTATTAACTTGGTCATTAATTCCTGAAGGCAGAGTAGAGCATACATTTATATCTAATAATAACAGCAAACACATACACATCACTTACTATTACTAGGCACTACTTTACCTGCTCTATACACAGCAACTAATTTAATTCTCTTAACAATCTTTTCAGGCAGGTACAAGTTATTGGTCTCATTTTGAGGAAAGTATATTGTCTATATTACATGGCTAATACATAGCAAAGTCAAGACATATTTGGAGTTTTAATATTTTATTTGTCCAAAACATACTGGAAGTTTAAGTTCTTTTGAAAAATTACAGTCAAATAAGTTTCAGATTACTATTTTGAGAGATGCCATTATATATCAAATTTTCAATATACCTCATCATATGATTTATATGCCAATGTCATTTTTCTTTCTTAACTATACATAAATATCCCCAAATGAAGAAAATGTTGGAATGAAAGAAACCAGTAACAAGTCACAGCTTCACAGAAACCAAAAAATATTTTAAACTGGTTTTTAACAGAAGTTTCTTTTTTTCAAAAGGCCTGAAAGTTATTCATTCTTTCTTGCTCTCCTTTCTTTTTTTTTATTTTTAATGAGTGAAGCAATGGAGAGTTCCATTTCTGGACCACTTTAGTGATGCTTTAAACTGGGGAGAAGTCTGCCTAAGGGTAGTATCTACACATTGCTTTTGCCAGTCAGAAATGGCAAGAGCAAGCTCCAATTTGTGGTCAATTAGAATTCCCAGACTGTTCTTTTATCAACAGCTGCCAAGACAACTGAACATCATTTCGAGCTATGTAACCGGGTTTACGAACCTGCATGCACCACTTTAGATTCCTATTAGTCACATTTCATCTTGTTGGGTTTAGCTCAGAATTCTAGTCTGTCAATTGTCATTTTTTAAGTTCAGATTCTGTGAGTAACTACTAGAACTAAAGTCCCTTATTGTCCTAATAAACAATGATTAAAGCATCCATAGATTTCTTAGCCCAGTAAAATACATTCTTCTGAACTGCTACACCAGAAACTGCTGCATATCCCAGAGATATTTGTTAACATTTATAACAGTCTAGGAACACATGGATTTGTCTGATTAGAGGCTAAATGGATTCTGTAGATGAGAAGATTACAATTTGATCTCAGAGACATGGATAAAATAATTCAAGGTATCTCAAAACTGTGCAGACTGAACATAAAGTTGGAACTAAAAAGAGCAAAGGATTTCTACCACAAACACATTGTGAAGCAACATATTTGTCAGACAAATGAATATAATGTTTTTATATTCTACAAAGTAGGTAAGCAAACAATCAGCTGGCACAGGTCTTCTTTACTTCTGTTATTTAAAATTGCAATTATTACAGGTATAATTTAAGAGGTCATTCCTCTATGTGGTAAAGCAATGTAGGGTTCAATTAAAACCCAATTACACATCAGTGGAACATAACTTAAGACATTTTAGGTTTTGCTTCTGTAGAAAAAAATATTATATATTCCATTTAAATCAGTTATACATTATAAAAGCAATGAGAAAATAAAGAGAAAAATAAATAGGAAGACCAACTAGACTACTCTTGTCACAGAAGGCCTTTCCTTTACTCTGATAAAGCAAAACTAGGTCAGATAACAGGACTTTAACTTAAACTTAGAAACTTTCCATATAACTTGAAAGTTAAAAAAAGAAAAAAAGCACAAGATCTTATGAGCTTTTTTTCCTTTAACTTTCAAGTTAGATGGAAAGTTTCTGGGTTTTTTTTTCCCAAGTAAATTAAAGTGTTCCTATACTGTCTTTATTTTTTTTACATATTTTTTATTGGAATATAGGGCTTCCCTCGTGGTTCAGCAGTAAAGAACCCACCTGCCAATGCAGTAAACACAAGTTTGATCCCTGGCTGGGAAGATCTCCTGGAGAAGGAAATGGCAACCCACTCCAGTAATATTATATTCTTGCCTGGGAAATCCCATGGGCAAAAGACCCTGGCCAGCTACAGTCCACAGGGTCACAAAGAGCTGGACATGACTCAGTTGCTGAGCACACTGCATGCTTTGGAATATAATCGCTTTATAATGTTGTGTTGTTTCTGCTGTAGAACAGCGTTAATCAGCCATATGTATCCATACAGCCCCTCTCTTGAGCCTCCCCTCATCCTCCTCCATTCCACCCCTCCAGGTCATCACAGAGCACCGAGTTGAGCTCCCTGTGCTATAGAGCAGCTTCCCACGAGCTTTTTGTCTTACACTTGGCAGTGTATACGTCTGTATACACTGGTAGTGTATACGTCAATGCCAGTCTCTCAATTCATCCCACACTCTTCTCCGCCTCTCTATGTCCTCAAGTCCATTCTCTGCGTTGGTGCCTCTACTCCTGTCCTGCAAAGAGGTTCATCAGGACCATTTTTCTAGATTCCATATATATACATTAATATATGACATTTGTTTTTCTCTTTCTGATTTACTTCACTTTGTATGACAGGCTCTCGGTTCATTCACAAAATGACAACTGACTGAATTTCATTCCTTCTGATGACTGACTAATAGTCCATTGTATATATGTGCCACATCTTCTTTACCCATTCATCTGTATTAAAACCTATATGACCCAGATACAGACTGGCTTCTATTTTCCTGACCAAAACTCCTTTAATGATATATCCAAAAATGGTGTTAGCTAATATTTTCAAGTTTACCATCATTTTTATGTATATGCTATTTTATATATGTATACATTTATTATTACACTGTTAATGCCATTCTATCATATGTTTTTATAGCATATGTTTTAATACAATATGCACATTGCATTGTTTTATTGGACTTATTTTTCTGATTATTAAGACTGATAAATGTTCTCAATACAGTTTATTATGAGCTGCAGTCTTTAATCATGAATATACTATATTGAGACAGACTCTGAATTAATGTTTCCTTTTTTTCTAATTATAATTCTGTTACCTATTCAAATATATCATTTTTTAAATATAAATATATATGAAGATAACATTATTTTTAAAATGTTTAAAAATAATTCTAGAGAACATATATCATTAAGTAATTACTGAGCATAAATTTGTATTATGTATTATGTAAATACATGGAAGTGAGGGCTTGTACTATATAGAACCTTGTACTATATAGAACATGGTCATAATGAATGACTAACTATCAATTAATAGCAGTAATGACAGTCTCAAAATGCATTTTAGTTTGAATGTCCACCAGATAAAAGCAAAACCATGAGTGAGTTGGTAACTCATCACAGTCATTTATTATTAAATAATAAGTGAACAGTTAAGGGAACGAGTAATCATGATCCAGTAGAAATAATTTTAATAATAGTCATTTCATTTGATGAAAACTATGGAATTTCGTGGTTAAAAACCAAAAGCACATGTATACACACAAACAGCAAATCTTACATAATGTTCCTGGATGTTTACCCACCTGAGTTGATGCTCTACCCGATCGGGTAGAGACAGAGGTGGGAGGGGAGATCGGGATGGGAAATACGTATAAATCCATGGCTGATTCATGTCAATGTATGACAAAACCCACTACAATATTGTAAAGTAATTAGCCTCCAACTAATAAAAATAAATGGAAAAAAAATTAAAAAATAAAATAAAGAGTTGACGCTCTAAGGTTTCAATGATTCCAGGATAAGAATCTTTGCTCCAGGTCCCACAGCAACACAGAGCATGCCATTATGCCTAAAAAATTACTTATTCACTGAAATACTTACTTAGGAATTAAGTTACTTCTGACTTCATTTCCTGAGAGAGAAGTCCTAGCCTCAGTAGAAAGTTATCAGGAATCAATATTAAAACCATTTCCAAAATCTCAGGACTGTCTCATTATGCAGTCTTTTTGTTATTACACTCTAGTAATAATGGAAATGTGCATGCAAGCATGCTAAGTCATGTCCACGGACTATAACCTGCCAGGTTCCTCTGTCCATGGAATTTTCCAGGCAAGCATACTGGAGCGGGTTGCCATTTCCCCCTCCAGGGGATCTTCCAACCCAGGCATCAAACCTGCATTTCTTATGTCTCCTGCATTGGCAGGTGGATTCTTTACCACCAGCACCACACACGAAGCCTAATAATGGAGACAATGTCAATCAAATGTATTTTTTACTCAACACCCATAATTATCTTAAATATTAATTGGCACGTGGCACGTTACCATCTGCAGGATATTTTAGTTCAAAACTGGCACTAAGATCTCATGACTGAATTAATTTATTCTAAATCTGCATATGTTTCAATTTTCTCTTTTTAATTAGGTCTTATTAAAAATAGGCATGAGATCACAACCTTACAGACACTCACCCTCTCCACCACCACCCGTTTTTCATAAATAGGCAGTTAATGGGCACTGAATTGTCAACAAATGAATGACAGGATACTTGAACATCAGCTGTCTCCAAAATACTTTATGAAACACCCTTATTTTAAATTGATGTCAGGATTCCCAATTGATAGAATCCCAAATGGTTTCTACCCCCATCAGAACCCTTGCCTTGTTTCCCATTCAATTTTTCTAAACAGAAGTAGAATGGAGGAAATTTTTTTTCTGCTTCATTACATCTCTAAACTCTATTATGGTTTTGCCTTTGGCAAGAAATAAGTTCCAATGCAGCACCAGGTTTCCATGTACAAGTGAGACCGACAGATATTTATTTGATGTTTTCTAGTCGGACTCTTCTGCTCACAGAACTCAGACTGTCCTCTGGTTAGTCAACCTTCCTCCATCTCAGGACCATGCCCAGGCCTGCCCTAAACCTTCTCATTCACAATGAGAACTGAGATTTCCCTGGAAGGCTGAGCTCAACAGGAAAGGAAGAATATGAAAATAAATGCTTAAAAGTATCAGTTACTTACTGTCTGATATGCACAGATGTCAAATATTTTCACAGATTTAATCATTCACTATACATGAACAGGGGTTTCTCTGGTGGCTCAGCAGTAAAGAATCCTCCTGCCAATGCAGGAGACTCATGTTCAATCCTTGGGTGGGGAAGATCCCCT